TCTCTCTCTCTCTCTCTCTCTCTCCCTGTCTCTCTCTCTCTCTCTCCCTGTCTCTTTCTCTCTCTCTCTCTCGCATCACCAACCCATGCACCTCATGCTTTCATCTCATTTACCTCCTTCTGTTTCCTGCGACTAAATTCGCCCTTCAATCGACATTACATACACTGGTTCATACAAAATGTCCAGACAGGAGAAGGTAAGAAGAGCACAACAAAGACTTGTCATGAGTTTGTTCCCAGGCACTTGACAAATATGTTTCATGTCTATGGGTTTTAGACGGAAGTAAGTTGGGATATGTAATAAATAAGTGTACAGAATTTCACATCCCTTCCAAACACAGTAAGAGAGTTGACAAGGCAGGACCTCAGAATCAAAAGTCCATCTTGAAAACCTCTCTAACAATCCCAAGTTCTGGACACCCCACCCCCCAACCACCCGAGCGTGACACCAACTATGGTAACAGCATGCCCTAAAGAATAAATATATATATGATAACATTTACAGGAATGAATCAAGAAAGGATGATTTAATGGATATATAAACAGCGATATGTGTGTATATATGATATATGTACACGCAAAAGAGACTAAAACTATTCTCCCACAAAGCCTGATTTTCATGTCAATTTCAGATAATTTAACTATTCAATGACAAGATATGACAAGCAGAGAATGGATGTGAACAATACCATCATTTAGTTTTAGTAAGAGTTTTACCGCACTTGCAACACAATAAGGTCATAGAAGTGCCGAAGATTAGAGATGTTACAAGAGAGTAACAAACACAAAAGGAAGGAGGGGAGACAGAGACGATAGATTTTTTATAGGAAAGAAGGAGCAAACCAACCCAGAGCGCCCACCAACCACCCTCACAATACCATCAGCAGTTGCAAAATTTGGATACTTCATAAAATGATAATTATTTGAGAACAAAATGCTGTGTCTGTGAAATCTTGACATAATAAGAAACTTCGATAGCACAGAAAAATATCTGGAGATCAATGTAAAAAGCATTAAAGCTATTGCCATACCAAAGTCACTGGCTTAAGACATACAGCCTTACACAAGCACTGCTGCACTGAAAGAAGAAACGCCCCCCCCCCCCCCCCCACCCCATGTTAACATGAAAAGTAAAAAAATACTCAGATAATGTTTTGTTTGAGCAAAGAGGAGAACATCTGGAAAATAACAGCCATCTCGTTTTTAGTTTTAGTGAGTGTTTTACAGCACTCACAACTGCATAAGGTCATATGAGCGCCAGAAGATTAGAGGTGTTACAAAAGAGTAACAAATATAAAAAAAAGAAGAAGGGGAGATAAAGACGATAGCCATCTCGGGCAGGAGAAAAAGCAAGATAAGCAGTATACAGATGACAAAAAAACAAAGGCATAAAAGAACCTATCAGTACTATCTTCCAGATGACAAAAAAACAAAGGCATAAAAGAACCTATCAGTACTATCTTCCAACCACCCTTCCAAAAAGTAGAGCAAGTATAATTTCTAATATTTCATGAATATCACCCCTTCCAAAAAGTAGAGCAAGTATAATTTCTAATATTTCATGAATATCACCCCTGCCAAGAGACAAACAAATGAGAATTCGACAAGGAAATTGAAAGTAAATTATTTTGATAAAAAAATGTTCAACAATTTTTCAACCTAAGTAAAGGAAAGGCACTAACAAAATCAATAATAACAGACTTTTACTGCTGTGAATGAAAGAGTTTGATGAGAGTTTTTCTTCACTTCCACTCTCGACAGAGCCAGAACTCTCCAGCGAGAGCCTTGAAGGAGGACAGGGGGTCCTGTAACCAGAGTCTATGCCCTGGGCTTATCAGTCAGAACTACAGCTAATTAGTCTTGTCTGGCCCTCAGAGGTTGAAGGTCAAACCATGGCCCATTAGCCTGATTGCCTTTATCTCTACCACAGAGGTATCATGTGCCCTGAGCAATGAGCGCCATCTCCACTTCAGGGAAACCCTCTAATAAAGTTGAGACACTGAGACATTTTGTGTTGTTTGGCTGTACTTTACTGCTAGTCACCACGATAACAGCTACGTTCTGCCCGAGACATAGGTCGTTATTGGAACTACAAAAACAGTATACATAGAAATAGAAAGAGAAGAGTACCAAAACACAAGAGTTTCTACTGACAAACATATATCGTTACTTCAACAACAGAAATAATATATGGAAATAAAAAGAGGAGAACACACACATAAGAATTTTCACCAACCAACTGAATGCAACATTCTGACTTTGCGGGACAAATACTCGTACTTCCAAATGCATTTTACCATCCTAGTTCCTTAAAAAATAACTAAATTAATAAATATATACAAACTTTACACATATTGGTATAAAAATATCTCAAGAACATTTCGTTCTCATCAACAACACAGATCTAATCCCAAAAATGGATTTCGACTGCTCAGTGTAAGATTCCATCTTAAGACGTCACTTTTTAAAATAGTATATGGCGAAGTTTCACACTAAACATTCAGTTTATTCATAGGAAAAAAGGGTACGCCTAATTTACAGCCTGTCTTGGCTCCACAAAAAGAATACCCCAACACAACTGAAGATTCTTTCTATACCTGCACTCATACTGAAGTAGATCGTAAAGCCCATAGAGGTTGTGGAGTGAGTATTTGCGCTATACAAATGCTATTTATTATATATTACTACTATTTTTCAAAATTATTACTATCATTATTATTATTCATTTAACAGAGTAAATTAACGGATTCGTAGTCAGAAACAAGCCATTTCATCCAAGGCTAGGAAGCGACCACTACGCTACACTTCAAACATTTGACGGAATAGAACGCATGGCCAGTCTTTACTTTCATTTTAGAAGGCAATCTATTAATCAGAAGTACGTCTTTATCAAATGGTTTAGCCATGCATGATTGCTCCAAAACAACGATATCAGTTAAGGAAATGATTCCAGCATCAGCCACAAGGCCTGAGTACTGCTCCATGCCAAATTTATCGATTCACCACCGCCCTAAAGTCAAGACTTTTTACAGTACAACAAAAGTTGTTTTTTTTCTAAATTCTGGAACAGGACTCTCAAGTTCATTGGAATCATAATGATGAGTGCCTACACCTTCAGTACTAAAGTTAAAAGAGGGGAGATAACTGACACAAATGTCTTATTAAGAGTGTATAATATATTATTATACTTTGAGCCACAAGGTTTTAGTGCACTTTTGTTTTAATGTTCTGACAACTATTCGTTAACATAAAAAAAAGCCACCAAACATAAGTTTAAGGGTTATTAACATTTTTTTTCATAAGACATGCAGACATTAACCCCCAAAAAATCAGTTTCTAGGTGCATTTCAAATATTGTAAGGGCTGACAAAGAAAAAAAATAGCTGCAAGTTTTGTTTTTCTGAAGTCAACAAACTCATCTTGGACCTGACAGCCATTGGTTTTATGGGAACCTTTGAACAAAAGTATCTCAGGCTTGCAAAGGGATGAGCATCAATTACAATTCGTTATCCCTTTCTACATATATTTATTCTTGGAAAGACAGTTATGCGACAAGAATGGTGTGTCTTTGTGCATAGAGGGTACAGAAATTCCAGCACCGTAACAGGCTGCAAAGTAAGAAAAGTATTAGTCATTGTCGCACACTTGTATTCTCAATCCATATCACGCACAATTCATCATACTATTGCACTATGCACTCTCTTTGAATAATAATCTTTCTTCTTATTAGCTGAAAGTGTAATATTGTTTAACACCTTTTGGAGACAGATTCAACTATAAGGTTTATGATGTGTATCAGGTATAATATATTACTAAATTTAATAATGTATGGATCCGGGAAGACAGGACTTATGACAAATATTGCACAAATATGGTCATCACTATCAGTGCCATCAAGTAAACACAGGAAAATGCAACCAGTAGACTATGATGTCATACATTCGCCTGAACAAAACATATGATTGCTATACTGGGAATGCTCGCTAGCATGTATGTAATTAGGTTGCGTAACACAGTTTATTCTTTTAAGTACATCACATACATGGGTTCAACCTAAGATTGTACGTACTCACCAACCTAAGATTGTACGTACTCACTCAGCCAGAGTGAGATATTCTTCTTTATAACCAGTGACAAGGCTGTCAGCTGTCATCAAACTTACAACAAAATTATTGCACATACATTGTTAATGCTTTCATAAGAAGCTGATGTCACTGCAAATTTGTACATTACCAGATCTCTTACGGACATTCAGGATACAAAAATTGATTACTCTCATTAACTTTGTTCACCACATTTTATAATCTTAAATAACTGCAAAAAGAGAGTGAAACAGATTTATGTTTCCAGAAATTCTTTCTGGGAAAGGATTTCAAAAATTTAAATAAGCTTCCATTCCTTGATGTCTGTAAGTTTGATAAATATATGTCTCTGAATCCAACTTTCTTTCACTCTCTTAACAAACATACATGCACATCAAGTGCATAATGTACATTACACATACAGGCACAACGTGTGCATCAGTTCAAATCTTGGGGATAATTAATCGACAAATTTTAGAATCTAGATAGGCCTATAGAAGATGTAACTTAATCAAAATACAACAAAGTACCTTTCTAACAACCCAACGTCATTCATTCAAAGAAATGTTAAGTAAAAGTTACCACAAAATGTTAAGACTCTAGTATCTCATCTGATCCAAAACTCGCACAAATTCTCCGTAACACCTGAGCTGGTTAATTCATTCACACTTCATCTCACTCCCTGAGGACATACCACATGGTAGCCTTTAATACATTCCAATTCTACCACTTACATCTCCATCCCTATCAAAAGCCAAGAACTCATTTTGATCGCTCAGTGTAAAGCTCCGTCATACGACACTTCTCAAAATGGTTTAAGGCAGAGTCTTAAAACAAAGAGTCTGATTTGAGCATTGGAAATTGAGGAAACTGAGGTGATAAACTTTCCTAAGGACACAAAGTCCTTTTCCACAAAGCCCAGGATAAAACGTGCAATATTATAATAACAAGTTTAACACCTTTAATATGATATTCTACAAACAACATTGCTTCAAAACAGGGCTTTGATTTTTGTGTCTCAGTCCAGCCGAGCTCCACTGAACATCAATGATATGAGAGAAGTTGAACAGAGTTTTGGTGATAAAGAGATGTAGGCTGATATGATAACAGTCATTGTGCGCTTATAAACAGACAGGAACACCACCAACAACAAAAACACAAGCTTCAAAAACGTATCCACACCATAGAACAAATAAATTACAAACCAAAGAACCTGAAAGTACCTTCCTTTTGCTGACATTGACAGGAATTGAAAATATCCTCCCCAAAAATATTTTTGTATAAAAAATAACAAAGGAAGGTTTGAAACAGGAATTCAAAGTTTCATTGTCATACTTCAGATCAAAAGAAAAGGGGAGAAATTAAACACAGCTGAAATGGCTACTCTCAGAGAGACAAAGAGCCGTCTACCTAAATATATTCCTTTAAAAAGCTGCCAAAATGTATGTACATTGCCATTTTGTCTTGCCAGTTGTTCATTAGCAAGACTACATTAATTTAATGCATTCAGGAGAAAATGTTGCCTTCAAATTTCCTATTCACTCGAAGTGACCCATACAAACAAAGGCATGCGAAATTTTCACTCTTTTCATGACCACCTTTCAAAAACTCCTGACATTAACTAATGAGCATGCACTTGCCCACACACACACACACAAATTTTCACTCAATGATCCACATATTCTTTAAAAGACAACAACCTTTATTATGAATATGTACACATGCATGAACACGCATACACTCAAACACACACACACACACACACACACACACACACTTGCAGAGTAATGGCAAACCCTGCCAAACAGACATGCACACAAGTATGAGCAAACACACAAATGGAATGAAAGTCTATCCACATCCACCAACATCTGGCCACGTCACTCGTGTATGGTAGCCAGCTCAGGGCTGCCCATCTCACTGGGCTTGTTGAAAATCTTTAAAGGGAAAGTCACCCCAGTTCTGAAGCTTTCCGATGGCAGTGGTGGATAGGCAGATGACGACAGGACAGCCAGTTTCTCCACACATCTCTTCAGTGTTGGTTCCTCGATCTGTTAAGTAACATTTGTTTTAGTAAGAGTTTTACATCACTCTTAACACAATTAAGTCATATAAGTGCTGAACATCAGAGGTTTGACAATAGAGTAACAAACACAAAAAAGGAGAAATATTTAGTTTTAGTTTTAGTAAGAGTTTTACGGCACGTGCAACACTATAAGGTCATATAAGAGCCGAAGATTAGATGTGTTACAAGAGAGTAACAAATATAAAAAAGAAGAAGGAGAGATCAGGACGACAGGTGTTTGATAGAAAAGAAGGAACAAACCACACCAGAGCACCCACCAACCACCCACAAGGAGAAATATGGATGATAGATATTTCATAGGAAAGAAGGAACAAACCACATTATAGCATATATGGCATTTGATGGCACTTAGTCATAAAACAGAAATTAATTTTTCGAGAAACAAACGAATGGGAGCGTATGTGTGAAGAATTTGGATGCATGGCTATAATTTAAGTTAAAAGAAAATGCGAATTGGTCAGACAAGGGGACATAATAAATATCAAACGGCACGAAGTATTATTTTGACCCGGTTACTTCCCTTGACACGAATGGCCACTTCCGAACACCTATTTCATTATTAAATTCATTTGAGTCCCCGCGTTAATGTTATCCCAAGTTCCCGGCCTGTTTTCTCGTTATTGTGATCAATCATCGTTGGCAAGATGTTAGAATGTACAGTCCAGAAGACCAAAATTTTAGAGGTGAGAAGAAAAAAGGAACTTTCATTCTTTTAACATTGCATTTGAAATTGAATTTCGACAAAATATGTATTGAGCACATGCAACCAACACCACTGATAAAGACACTGAAATATTTTTTAAAATAAAAATTCTGGGCCTCCTACATTTTAACAGTTGGCCAACGATACGCGACTCCACACTAGAGATAATTTTGCTATGCCACAAACCAAAAGAAGGCAGGCTTTACCTTGCAGAACTTCATGACTTGAAACTGCTTCTCCTCGGTCAGACTGTCGTGAGGGCTCCCAGTGAGGTGCAGCACCAGGGCCAGGGCCAGGGAACAAGGCTGGGGACAGGAATCGACAGTGAGTAATCGGGTCGGTCATTTACTCGTGGCTGAGTCATCGGCCATTTACTCATGGGAGAGTCATCGGCCATTTGCTCATGCGAAAATCATTCATCATGAGTTAAGTCATTAATTTGTCAGTTTCTTACGGGTAATTGGTAAGTCATCACTCATTTCCTCATGGGTGAGTCGTCAGTCATTTGCTCATGGGTAAGTCATCAGCCATTTGCTCATGCATAAATCTCATCCATCATGAGTAAGTCATTTGCCATTTGCTTATGGGTCATCAGTCACTGGTAAGTCATCAGTCATTTGCTCATGGGTAAGTCATCAGTCATTTGCTCATGAAGAGTAGATCGTTGGTAATTTACTAAAGGGTTAGTCATTGGTCAGTTACTCGAGAGTAAGTCATCAGTCATTTACACATGGTTTAGTCTAACAGTCACTTGCTCATGGATAAGTCATCAGTCATTTGTTCATGGATAAATCATCAGTCATTTACTCGTGAGCAAGACACAGTCATTTACTCGTGAGCAAGACATTGGTCATGGGTAAGTCATTGTAAGCAGAACCCAATGGTGGTTCACGAAAGCCCTATTTGAGATTCAAACAAGGGTCATTCGCACCACGGCCAAGCAAGATATCGTCTCAGCTTGCGGTGGTGCACCCATCAAGCCAGTGTTGGCGATAAGCATTACATAACCAGAACTCACGGCAAGAGCAGTTCCTCTACTTGATGTTTTTGTTTTAGTATGAGTTTTACGGCACTTACAACACAGATAGGTCACATAAGTGCCGAAGTTAATCAGAGTTTCAGTTTTTGCAAGCAAAGGTGAATAGTAATGGTCGTTTAGTGCTGGGACAAAGCAAGACAGACAGACAGACAGACAAACAAACAGACAGGCAGACAGACAAACAAACAGACAGAGAGAGAGACAGACAGACAGACAGACAGACAGACAGACAATAAATATATTAATTAAGTAAGTAAACAACAAACATACCAACAGAGGGTAAAGTAAAGAAGGGGGGGGGGGTGCAAGGATTCGATTAGACAAAACTTTAAATCCCTCTCCAAAATCTCCTTTCAAAGACAGAACAAACCAAGCGGAAGCTCTTTGTGCATTTTCTATGTCTACTGTTTAAGGTGAGACAAGCGTAGATATACAAAGGAAAAGGAGAGAACACGGCATAAGCAGGGATGAAAAAGAAATTATTTTTTAAAATCCAGACAGAGAGAAAGAAAGATTTGAAAATGGGTGTGCCAAGGACACGGTACAGTCTGGAAAAACATGAAGGAAATCTGGGGAAAATACACACTTGAGAATGAAGTACATCTGCATTAAGTGGGAGAAAAAAATGTATGCAGCTTTGAGCTGAGCAGGCAATTTCCCACAGGTACAGAGCCAAGTTTTATACAGTCGACCGACAGGTAAATGTTGCCCCCGCCCCCGCCCCCTTCTCGCTCTCAGAAATCTATCTCTCTCTCTCTCTCTCTCTCTCTCTCTCTCTCTCTCTCTCTCTCTCTCTCTCTCTCTCTCTCTCTCTCTCTCTCTCTCACACACACACACACACACACACACACACACACACACACACACACACACACACACACACACACACACTCACTTCCTCAGCAATTCCCTCAAACGTACAGTAAGCAATGCAAAGATAAACAAGGTCAAACTGTGGCCAGAACGCATGCGCGTCGAACACACTTGAGTTGTGAGTTTACCTTGAAGGCGCTCACTCACACCCCAGCTGCTGATCAATAGACGCAGTAAACACATTCATAATCTAACCCGTCTGGCAGCTCGTGATTAAATCGGTCTTTGTCTCAACATCTCGAAAAATTTTGTCAGTTTTTTTTTTTCTTCTCAATATTTTGGCAAATTGGCTGCTGGCATTGAATACTTCCTAGGAAGCCTCAGAATGCTTCTGGGTGTTCTAGCATTTTATTTTCTTTGTTCATGTATGTTTAGTGTTAGTATGAGTTCTATGGCACTTGCACCACAATAAGGCCATATAAGTGCCGAAAAAATATATGTTACAAGAGAGTAATGTACACAAAAAAGAAGGAGGAGAGATAAGGACGATAGATGTTTGATGTGAAAGAAGGGGCAAATCACACCAGAGCACCCGCCAACCACCCACGTTCATGCATAATTCTGGTAACACCTCCAATCTTTGCCACTTGTAACATACATGAACACAGAAAAGAAGGAAGAGAGATGAGAGAGAACGATGCCCATGTTTCATAGGAAAGAAGGAGCAAACCACACAAAATCGCCCACCAACCACCCACTTTCAGGAAAGGGAGTTTAGTCAACAAACAGACCAAGAAGAAGTGGCAGTAGTCTCGAGTAATGGAACTCTCCCATCTACCCGGTGATGGAGTCGATGCCAAAGGGAATATTCTTATTTTCTCCCACCATAGAAAAAATCTCTCTCTCTCTCTCTCTCTCTCTCTCACACACACACACACACACACATACACACACAAGTTCCTGGCATGACCGTGAACCTCTGGCACCCTGCCAAACGGAAGAACCGTGCAGTATTCGATTCTCGCGGAAGCAGGGAAATAATGAGTGAGAAAGCTAAGAAGCTTGATTATTTTCATTTCGACTCAAGTCTCCAGGCAACATAATGAAACGCACATAGAACAGTTTGTTACAAAGAACTGCTGACGAAATGTTCCGGAGAGAACTTGTTAAAACGAAAAGAAATCATTCTTAATGTATATTATTCTGTGATCTTAATTTCAATACCTGGCACATACATGTATTAATTTGATTGCTCAAAGAGGAAGAAATACGACAAAATAACGACCATTTGGTAAAGAGAAAAGGCAACATAGATGTACAGACCAGACAGGCAAGAACAATTGAGGGAGGGAACGGAATTGGGACCTTGTGTGACGCTCTCCAACCACCTGCTCCTTGAAAATGTACGGGGGGTTGAAAACTACTACATATAGTTTTAAAGAACAACCCC